CGACCTGCACTGATTTCAAAGCTGTCTGTTCCATCGGTGACCTGTTTTAAGCCCAGGATGGTTTAACTCACACATATTCATCACCACAGCCTGGGCTTGGATCAGTAAACATGCCCCAAACTGCCTCCCCAGCGCTCTGAAGGAAACACACACACTCCAGATCTTCCAACTTGGCTTTGGCCAATGCTGGCTTTTAACCTCTCTGTCTCTTCAGCCACCAGCTAAGAGGCAGTCTTAGAGTGTCAACAAGACAGCACCAGGTGGCTTCAACTCCTTCTCCCTCTATGAACTCCCATGGTGTGCAAAGGCTGCTCATAGACTTCTCCCTCTATGAGCCTCCACAGATCCCAGAAATGTTTTAGACAGAAGCTGGGACTCGTGCTTTCATAAGCATAATGCAGCTATGTGAAGTGTGAGCTTTCCACTGAGATTTTTTTGGAGAGGAATAAAACATCATTCAGCTCTTAAGAAACTCTACCCAGGGCATTGGTTTGCAGAAAACTTTCTCATCTGTTCGTTTATGTGGTCTTTATACAAACTCTGAGAGGTGTTCAAGATGTGGACTGTTACCCATCTCACAAAAGACAAAACTGAGCTTCAAGGAGGGAAGCTGATTTTCCCAAGACCATCCACCTGGTAAGTAGCTGAGCTAAACAGAACACAACATTGCTTGTATCAATTTTTTGCTGTTTTGCATCAGGTAGTCAACCACTTGGCCCCCCAGCATTTGGGGGGGGGTGGTGAATTGACTTGCACGTGCTTTGGGCATGTGCGGATGGAGAACAGATTCTTTGCCCTCAAAAAGCTCTCCAAGACCAGCTGGGGGACTAGATGAGGGAATCAATGATAACAACTAAGAGCCTTAATCGTCTAATAATTCATTTTAAGACCATTTTATTGTTTACCTCCAAAATCTATTTTAGGTCAGAGGTTATTCTAAAAACTCTAATATGCTGAAATGAGATTCAAAAAATTAACCAACAACACAGCATAGGCATCAGACATAAATAGATGCTGGCCATAAACAGACTGCTAATAAGCAGATGACAAGGCACAGTGCCTGCCTTCAAGTGCCCATGGTCTAGTTGGACAGACAGGCAAGGCAAATATGGGGTGCAATGTACTAAAAATGAAAAATGGTATTGTGGCTGAGCGTGGGGGAGGGGTCCTTCTCTCTGGATGTGTAAGTCATGAAAACTTCCTTTGAAGAAGTATCCTGAAGTAATCTTGAAAAACTAATAATTTATCATGTGGATAAGGGAACAGAGCTCATTCTGGAGAGTTAGGACCTGAACTCATGACCCACCCCTTTCTGCTCTGCCCACCAATCCACTTATTGGTTGATGGTGAAGCTGAAGTGTCCTATTCCATGAGGCAGGGAACCCCCATCTGTCTGTCTTGCATCTCATTCACTGAAGCATTTGAGCTTTTCTTGTCCTTTGTTGTCTAAGGAGAGGTGAAAAGAGACAGAAAAGAAGCACTGGATAAAAATCTGCAGGCAAGTTGGGAAACCTTGACTCTAAACAAATGTGTCTAACTGAAGGATGGACACAGTGTTGGGTCAGTGCTCCTTCCCTGCTTTGGGAGAAATTTCCGGCAATTATGAAGTCATGTGGGACTTTTGGATGGGTGTTAGCATACCAAATGACACTGAAGAAGAAGAGGAGGTGGTGGGGAGCAATGAAGGAGCAGCCTCATCATGGGAAGCAAGCAATCCATCCATGGAGCAAGTGGCCTTTTGACTTCCTCAGGTAGAGCTAGTCCTGACCTGTGTTCTTCTCATTATCTGCTCTGTTTGGAAAAAGAAATATAGGTATTGCCTTCAGTACATCTTTAAGGAAATGAGAATAATCTCACCTGAGGCAAGCTTCCATGTTCTCTCTGGCCTCCAAACCACAGCCTCCACCAGCAGCTCATGAGTGAAAACTGCAAACAAGCAAAAACAAAATCGGTTGTTGGCAGGGAACTCTGTAGGAGGTGGTGTTTACAAGTATCCATCCTGCTCTCTCACGTGAGATATTCCTTGCCAACAGGTACGGCATCCTCCGCCAAACAGGAGGATGAATGGCTATTAATTTCCACAAGCATTCTCTGCTTGGTGTCTAGAGGAGTTTGCTTGCTCGGTTCTGACTGTGAGAACCCTGTGCAGGGACAGTAGCCATAGTGGCCTCTGCCAAGTCATTTCTCCTCTCTCGCCCCCTTTCCTCATCTGTTGGACACAAAAGTACAGTTTCCTCCTCATCTTCCATGAGTGTCAACCGAAGAATTTAATTATAAAGCACAACATGTCAAACTCATTTTTCCTCCACTACTTCAATTCATTCAACAAACATTTCCTGAGCTTTTACCATGCTCAAGCCTCAGTCAGGTCTAGGCAAAGAAAAAGGAATTATGATCACCAATCACAGGAAGCCTAGAGTCTAGGAGGAAAAAGTAGATACACACATACATAATTATACCACATAGAAGCAATCATTGTCCTAACAGAGTTTTCAAAATATCTGGGGAGGACTTATTTCTTGTGGAAGAAATCTATCTGGGAAGCTCTGTAGTGAAGTGGGATCAGAACTGGATAATAAATGCATGTGAAGAGATGGAGGAACAATTCCAAGCAAAGTGCAGCATAATCAAAGTCTGGGATGCTGGAGAGAGAGCACATGTCATAAGCAGATCCATTTGCCTGGGACAAGGTTGCAAAAGGTCCAGGAACCAAAACCAAGTCCTTGTCTGGGAACTTCTCACACAAATGACAAGATGTGGTTTAAGATACTGCATAGATTTTTGGAGAAAATTCCTTTTAAAAGTAGCATCTTCTAAAGACAAATAAAGTTAATTACTCCTTCTCCATGTTGTCTTAATAAACTTCTATGACAACTGTTAAAGCATGACCATTCACAGCACCAGGAGCCTGCTTCCTTCCAACCTTGAGGAACAGCCTGGTTATAGCTGACTTTGTTTTCTCTGTGATTGGCTAAGCCACTTGTAGTAGGCACCAATCAATGATTTTAGAATAGTAAGTGGCAAGGCAGGTTGTAGAACTTAGAATTCCTCAAAGAAGTCACATTTATCACCCAGTTTCCTGGCACGCTTTCTTGTCTTATTTAAATACATACACATAATCACAAAAGTATATGCATATATATCAATTATATATTATAAATATAGACCATCCCATGTGACACCTACACTATTTTAGTGGGTTTTTTTTTTTTTTTGATAACCCAGGATATAAGCTCAGTATCATAGGAAAGCCAAGAGGCATGAAAGCATTCACTACTGGTTAAAAGACACAGCCTCGTGCTACTGAAATATGCTTTGGCTGAAACACAGAATTAAAAACTTCCAAAATAACCAACATTTGAATCAGCCAAAATGATTGGAAAGTTCAAGGGAGCTGTTTTATGACATGACTATTTATGGACTTTCTTGCTATCTGGGTGGGTCACATAAGCTGAGAATCCTAAAATACCAGAGCCAGACCTACCATAGAGATGACCTAATCTGGTCTTCCTTTCCTCAGGTGGGAAAACAGACTTATAGAATAATCAATACTATGAGATTGGTATCATTTAGTATTGAAAGTAGGTAAATAATTGAAACCTCCATTATTAATAGTTAATAATATTAAAAACCCCAAAGATTTCTATCCTAATTAATTCTACAGAACAAAGAAATGTCTTTTCCATATTTCAATTTGGCAATAATTTCTATACAAATGTCTAATAAGACATTAACATCATTTAAATATCATCATGTACTATTCCTGGACAGCAATGTGTCATGGAAAAAGTATGGGAGCCCGGTGTTGTAATCTAAATGCTTCCCACATGTATTCCCTTGGTGAGTTGCATTACTTCTCTAAACTTCGGCTGTTTCATCTGTAAAAAGGGGACACCTTATAACCTCTCATACTTACTGGTTGCAAGGACATAATGACATAGTGTTCCATAATGTATCTTGTGCAGGACCTAATACAGACTGAATAAAAGAGGATTCAGTGGTAGCTACAGGTTCCGTAGTGCTTCTTTTCCCTACACTATCCCAAACTAATCTGTGCTGCAACAAGCCCAGAAGTCCTCCCCAGCGTGGGTGGCTGCTGCTTCCCCCTCCTGCAAATGCCCCGGTGTGCCCTGGGGATACTCAATGCATACTAACCACCAAACCAACAGATGACTCAGAGCCTGGACACAATCCACAGCAGGCTGGGGAGTGAAGGAGCAGCTCCTGGCTCAAAGATTAAGGTTATTACTTTTCAAAATTATGTTTTTTCTTTTTCTTTTTTTTTCCTTTTAGCTGCAGTTAACAGGGATCAGTACTGAGAGGAAAGCTGGGGATCTCTCCCTAGGAGATCCAGCTGAGAAGCAGCACCAGGCACAGGCAAGAACAATGTCAAAAAAGCAGCTTCCTGCAGGACAGTGGGGCTGGGACAATGATTCCTGCAGGCAGCTGGGCATAGCTGGTTCTCACTTAGAAAAAACCTGGCAGGTCTGTGCTCCCAGCATGTTCCCCACCTGCTGAGGACTAATCCTGGGTTATCTCTCTGCTGGCCCAGGGAAAGCTGAAACTCCCCGAGCTTTTAAAGGATTTTATCTCCTCTTTCCAGGAATTCGTCTCAGTCCCTGTGCTTTCTCCGAGGTGCCACTGAGCAGCTGCTACCCAGAGCCCAGGCAGCCCAGTTCGCGTTTCCAGCCCACAGGAATAGAGGCGCAGCAGAGCCAGGGTACTACTCCCTCTCGCTCCCGGGGCTTCTGTTTCACAATTAGAAAACCCATTTGGGGAGCAATGCAAAAATCACACTTCGCTCCCAGCTACTCGGCGTCGGGGGCGGAGGAAGCGGGAATTCCTACTTTCGCCATAAATTGTATGCAAATGAGTTCCTTCCCTGGCCGGGAGCCTGAAGTGAGTGCGTCTTTCATGAGCTAACCCTGTTCCGCTGGGAGGGCTGTTCCTTTAATTCGCCAACTGAAAAAGTGGGAAAGGATGTCTGGAGGCGAGGCGTCCCATTACAGGGGAAGGAGCTGGCTATATAAGCCAGCCAAAGCTGGCTGCTCTGGCCACAGCCTGCCTACTGTCACACGCCTCTCCCGCGCAGACACACGCCCCCGCCTCTGGTCGGCACAAAGACATCACGGCTGGGGGACACCCGGGGTGCGCACGTGGGAACCCCGCTGCTGCTCAAGCCCCGGTATTTCCTCATGAAGCCGGTGCACTCCCGGATCTAGGTCTTTTCCAGCAGGGAGAGGTAAGCCTGTTTAGCCCCCATCACCAAAGATCATTATGATGTCCTGTTGGTACTCCTGGTACCACATGCATTGTTGTTCTATTAATTATAAAAACTTTTGCTTTGTTTTGGCTGCTAGCAGAAAGCCGGTGTTTGTTGGTTAAGATCGGATGCACCTTGTCTTCTCTGCCTGTCCTTCTCTGATCTTGCATTTCGGTTTACTTTTTGGAAAGTTTTTGTCCCTTGCCTTTTTGCAGAGGAAAAGTGGTAATTCTCTCTTGAGTCCCTGCCTGCTGACTCACCTGTGAATGACTTTTTTTTTTTTTCTTTTGAGTGTTAGGGAAGTAGAGTTTGAAAGTGGAAATTGCTCATGGCCTTACTCCAAGATGGGTTATGGGGAGATTGATAGAGGACTGTAGAGAGAACAACAGAATTTACATCTAAAAGGCTCTTAGAGTTTACAGAGAGTTTTGTACTCACCCTGTGGAAAGAGGTGAGTTGGAATAGAAGAGACAAAAAGGAGTTCTAGGGCCAGATGAGAGACTGCAGGTGAGAGTGGTGGCATTTCCTTGGGTCCTTAAGGGCAGTCAGCTTCTGGTGGCTGCCTCCTGATTCTCAAGTGGGACTCCTGCATATCTGGGGGACTTATAGCCAGCAGTGTCCCACAGAATCTCTAGAATCACCTCCCCCTCTTCAGGCTTCCCCCACAGAAAGCCCTGAGGAACTATTTCCCCTAAGTCTAGGAAGTCCACTTCCCCTGATGGACTTTGGGACAAACACAGGGGTTCCTGTAACCCGTCGTTGCTGTAAGAGGATTGAGAACTCAGGTTTTGAAGCCAGAGGAATCTTGGACATTTCCATCAGCATCATACACATGTCTGAGAAAAATATGTAACCTCTTTGGGCCTTAGTTTCCACTTCTCTAAAATGGGAACAATAACTTCCTTGTTATAATGAGGAGAAAAGCAGGGATACAGAGATTGGCAACGAGCGCTTGGTAACTGCAAGTTTGGATAACCACTTTCATTGCCAAAAGCTGCCATCACCCCGGACGTTCAAAGGGGCACTTAGCCAATCTTGGATTGTTTTTTGTGCATTCTCCCATCCCCTTCCAGCCCCTGCTTTTTAATCTCGCCCAATCTCAGGGTGTCTCTTGCTAGGCTGGCAGGTCGGAGTCTTGGCTGCATTTTACAAGCAGGAGGTTGTGTTGGCACAGGTTGGAAGAAAAGGTAGCAGCCCGGGGCTGGATGTGAATGCTGAGTTTCAATTCCAGAATGCCATGAGGTTTTGTGTTTAGGTATTTGCAGATTCTAAAGCTGATGGCTATAAAGTAAGATGCTGATGGGGAGTCTTTGGAAATGTTTTTCCGTCCAGAAGGAGAGAGGGACAAGAAGTGTGTTTGAAGAATGAATGCCTCTTTTTCATGTTTTTGTGAACTTTGTGTGTGTTTATAGAGCTTTCCCATATGTGCTTTAGAAGTGAAAACGGCCGCCCACCCCAGCCTGTTTCCCACCTTGTCCTGAGATGTGGCAAGGCCAAGTTCAGGGCTGAGAAAGAGGTTTATTTAGTCTTAAATAAGCCAGTGGAAAGTTTGCTGGCATTGTGTGCATCGGAGCTGTTTGCAGGACTGGAGAGTTAGTGTGCCTTGGCCCTCTGCGTTTCAGGAAAGTGACCACATATGGGGAAAGAAAGGGGCGCATGAATATTCTTTGGTTTGCTCAGTGTGAACTGGAGGAGGATGGAAAGGGGTGTTGCCATTGTCTACAATCATCATTTTTTTTTCCCTCTACACTTTGTTTTAAAAAAACTTCTCTTCCAAATCTCACATCCTTCTAGCCCCTCCCTCCCCCTCTCAAGAGCTTACCAACCTTCTAGCCCTCGACTTTACCACCCATATAAAGAGAGTGACAATCTACATCTCACAGGGCTCTGGTGACATTCAAATGAAAAAAATACACGACAGACTCTTGGCACAGGAATCGAGTGTAATGAGGGTTCAATAAATGGAAGCTCTTCTTGACTTTCCTGCTTGGGACTTGTTCAGTGTTAATGTTTTAAACAATGAGTTTAGAATTAACTTTTAACAATGGAAATGTTCATTAAATGAGTTTGAGGGGGGAACACTCTAGAATTTGACAGGTTCATGTGGAGCTCTTTTGATTGAAATGGGGTTAGAGGATCCTGACCTCACTTCCTTGCTCTCAGTCTGGACCGGGTCTGGACAAACAGGAAACACAGCCACAAAGCCCGCAGCCAGGTGATGTGCTTTCAGGTTGCAGATCTGTTTCAGCAAGGAATGTGGCCCCCTGCGTCAGCAGCTGCCATGGGAGTAAAAGTGATTCCCCAAATAGGACAGATGACAGGAATAAGTGGGAAGGTTTAAAAGGCTTAACAAAAACTGGCTATTTTAATTAACTTTAAGGATAGCCATAGCTAGATGCATGGTGGCCTTCTGGCTAAGTTATAGGCCCTCTCTGGACACCGCCTCACTAAATCCCGATGAAGGTCTCTGAGGTATGGACTGTACCTATTGGACAAAAGGTGGCTTGGAGAGAAGGGAGACTGAGTCACTTTTCCAGTGTTTAGAACTCAGAGTGACCGAGCTGGATTTCAGACCCAAGTCTCCATGATCACCAGACAAGGGGTACATTCTGAGTGCTTCTACTTCTTGCTCTGCCTTCAGGGAGAAAATACTTCCTTTTTGACTAAATATGCCCCTGCCGGCAGACTGTGGCCACCCATAAATACAGCGGTAGCCTGATCGTATAACCAGAATGGAATTTGGAAAGGGAATTCAAGCTGACAGAATGAAAAACATACCCCCTTCATCCTCCCTTTCTAAGGCTTATGATGAAGTAAGAGCACCTCTTCTCTCCTCCCCCTGCATCTCCCCAAATGTACAGCCGTGCTTTCCTATGGGAAAAATAGCCAAGCTGGCACCGGGCACCTGCCCCTTCACACTGAAGCCACCTCAGTTTGAAAAGTAGAAAGTGTGTTACAAACATCTAGTTGGCCGTAGCTACGCAAACCCTTTGTGATGATAAAACACAGACCTACCAAAATAGCTACTTGTGAGGGCTGATTATGTGTCACAGATGTAAAAGGGGCGTCTTGTTTCTGATGTCTCATCGAATTCTCACCCTGACGCTACAAGTTATGAATTACGATCTCCATTTTATGGGAATGGATAGAGAAACCGAGGCTCAAGCAAGTTAAGTCTCAGCTGAGGTCTTTCCATAAGTCAGAGGCAGAGTTGGCCTGGAAGCCAAAGTTTCTAACTGAAGCTATGCTGTTCTTTCTGCTGTGCCACGTGGCTTCCTGGAGTCAGGCAGGCAAAGACTGACCAAGTACAGAATCTTAAAGTGGTGTCTTTCAGTGAATGACCAAGATGGCAGAAAAAGCCCCCTACTGGCATTCTCTACTGATTTTACAGAGTAACCTGGCATATATCATCTTTCACTGTGTTCACAAAAGGTCATGGTAGAGCAGCTCTCTGCCTGGAAATAGAAGAGTTCATATTTCAGGCCTCGGGGAGAGAAGACTAAAACCAGAGGTAGCAGTCAGATCATCACTGTTGGTTTCATCCCAGAAAATCTACACTCCTCTGTGCTGTCTCAGGTGGGACCTCTGACTCATGCACCTTCTCTGAGATCCAGATGAGAAGAGCGTCTGGTTTTAAAATGGTGGATTGGGAGACAGATAAAGGAAATACATGTGCCCAGCCTTGGGGCAGTGAAACCCAGGACAACTGGGAAATGGTTGTGAGCTCCATGCACAGATTCAGCCAGCGCCTCAGAGAGGAAGGTTAAGATTCAACTCCACTGACTCTGAGAAGATCCCGGAATCCCCCTGAACTTAATCCTGGACCAGTTCGAACACTGTCAATGTGTGGGAAATGTTAGATGGTGGCTCCCTTCCAAGGGGAAAAGCCCTCAAAGTGTTAAGCACAGTCTTCTGCAAACTCCAGGCAATAATTCCATCCCAACAAAATACAGCAGTGTCCTGACCTACCGTTAGGGGCAACTCATGCCTTTGGACTTCTCTGTGGAGGAGATAAGGCTCACCCTGTGTACAGTCGGGTTTTCAGGTTTGCCTTAAGCCTAGATTTCCTGGTTCTGTCTGCTTCCCCCTTTCTCATATTTCTTCCACTTTAGCATCCACCTCGTGTTCTGCACTGTCATGATCTCTTACCTTCATCCATGGAGAGAAAGCGAAATGCCCTGTTGAAAGCAGACTGTAACACTAGAAATGTGTATTTCTAGTTTATTTGTAAATGGAGGTTTAAAAAATTATTTCATGGGCTGGGTTGTGGCTCAGTGGCACAGTACTTGCCTCGTACAGGTGAGGCACTGGGTTTGATCCTCAGCACCACATGAAAATGAATAAATAAAATACAGACATTGTGAAAAAAAGTATAAAAAAATCATTTCATGCCAACTTGTCTCAGATTGAAAGTTCCTGAAGTTCACAGGTTCTTAATTACGTAGCCATCAAAATTTGATGGACTTTTAATCCTCCGCAAATACCCTCTGCCATAAGCTCTGCAAGCAGGCAGCTTTGCTTCAGAATTAGCCGCAGGTCACCTCTTACCCTAAAGGAGGTGAGCTGGCTTCTGCTAACTTCTGTATGCATGTGTCCAGCCTGTTCTTCCAGGAGCAGCCTAGGGGATAACCGTAAAGCTAACATTTATTGAGGACTCCACAGGCATGATGCCATTTGATCACCAGCCATTGTTTTTAGTAGTACTGCTCCCCATTCAGATATGGGGAGCCTGGGGCTGAAAAAGTTTAAGCAGTTTTTCCAATACCATGCAGATAAGCAATTGGTAGATCCCAAAATCAAATCCAGCTCCAAGATCCTGGAGAGTGATAACAACTGTTAGAATCTGCAAGTATGCTCAGGGCCATTATTCTCATGCCTATTGGAGTCTGTTCTCCCCAAAGCCTGCTGGCGGGTACCTGGCTCTTGCAACTTACTATTGATGAAACTCTCTGCTATCTCCAACAGAAACATCACAATAC